GTGGTTTAAGAGCAGCTGTTCCAAGCATCCACTGCTGGGTAACCTTGCTAATCTTAAGATGGAGATCATAATAATACTCTCCTCACATGCTTCTTGTGAGAATGAAATGAGTAACACACAAGAAAACCCTATGCTGCAGTACTGTTGCATGGAGCCACTATGAGATGGAAGTGACTCAATGGCACCCAACAACACATAATGCCCTCAAAATAGTGCCTGGCATGTGGTAAATGCTAGATGAGCATTACAAAAAAAAAAAAAAAAAATGCCAGACACAAGAGATTCTGGCTTTCCTTACCTTTAGAGATTTTGAAGCAAAACAAAGAAATCGACAGCTCTCCTTATCTACTTTCATTCCTCCAAACACCAAACCAAACTCATTGCTGTTGAGTGATCCGCCTCATAGGGACTCCTCCTTGGGTTTTCGAGGTGGTATCTCTGCAGAAGTAGATTACCCAATCTTTCTTCTGAGTAGTTTGAACTGCCGACTTTCTGGTAAATAGTCAAGTGCCTTAGGCACTATGCCACCAGAGCTCCACCTTGATCCTAAGACACAATTATTTCTGACTGGTCTGGAAGGGACCAGTAGTCAGGGATTTAGGTAGGTGTGATGGCCAAGAACTAAACACCTGAAGGCCTTTCAGGCCCCCTCCCAGGAACTCTTTGAGTTTAATCAGCTGCTGTTTTTCACAGGTCTCACTCATTTTTCTAGTTCTTTGTTTTTCAGGTATTCCCTGAGCCTCCAGATTTTCTTTCAGGTTTATGTATATCCCAGGATAAACTGTGTATTATTATTATATACTTAAATTTTTTGTCTTTCATTTGAAAAATTTAATCTTTTTTTTTAAATGGTTTTGGTGAAAGTTTACAAATTAATTTCCCATTCAACAATTTCTATGCATTTTGTCTCATGACATTGGTTGAAATCCCCTCAATGTAACCACCACTTCCTCCCTGGGTTCCCTGCTCCCATTCCTCCCTCTTCCCTGCCTCTTCTTGCCTTCTGAACTTTGTTTTTGGGAAAACGTTCCATTTTATTCTCATATGATTGATTGTTCTAAAGAGCACATTCATTCTAGGTGGTGGTGTTTACTTTTTAGGCTTGTCTGTTGTTTTGCTGAAAGATGCTCTCTGCAAGTGGGTTCAGTTCCAGGTTTGGTGTCTCGGGGATTCCACCAGTCTCTATGAACTGTGAATGTTGGTAAAGATTTACAGTTGTATATAATGTAAAAAGTATCAAAGTATACTTTCTTCATATTAAAAATGTTGTGGATTCTCTTATTTTTCCTTAATCTGTATCATGTACACATATATGCCTATGTATGTATCTATATATGCTGTAAGTGGTCCTGGAGGATATGCAATAATTATGTACTCAGCCACTAACTGAAAGGTTGGTGGTTTGAACCCACCCAAAGGTGCCTCAGAAGACAGGCCTGGTAATCTTCCAAAAGATCACAGCCATGAAAATCCTATGTCACACAGTTCTAATCTGACATACATGCCATGATTGCCATGAGTTGGCAATGACTGGACAGCAACTGGATTTTTTTTTTTTTGTTATATGGTTGGTATGACAAAAATACTTGCCCAGACCTTGAAATAGGGTCTGATCTAGAGTAGCAAGTAACACATAGCTCTATCATTAGATCAAAATCCTTATTTGGTATCTACTAATGGCTCAGCAACTTAAAACTGTGCTGCCCTGAACAGAAGCAATGTTCATCTCAATGGGAGAAATTCAGCCTCACTTAAAGTAGCATTGCCTAGTAAGTTTCAAAGATATTTTGGCAATCAGCGCTAGATAGCAGCACAATTCCAATAATTTACACACTCCTCAGCTTTTTTTTTTTCTGGTCTGGAGCCCACTGAAGCTCTTCTCAAACTGTAGGAAGACAGGAATAGATTACAATTGTCATAACAGAATTTATTCTTGGTATTAAATTGACACTTCTCTGAGAAAACCATAACTTACTCTTTTAAATGCCTTAATAGTGAATGGCAGTGAAAATGGCCCATTTTCCCCTTCACTCTGGACACTAAAGTTTTACTGAGGAGGGTGGGTCCTGCGCGGGTTCTAGGTTTTGCTGGAGTAGCAGCAACGGTGGTGCCAAGGAGTACTAGGTCAATACTCCGTCCTAGATTGTCCAGCCGGGGACGCGGGCAAGGTTCTGGACCTCTGAGAATGTTCTGAAGCCAAGTCTTGGTTCAGAGGGTTGTCATGAAGCTGAAGTGAGTGATTTACTCATTCTATACTCTCTAGTGACCAGGAATAGTAAGGGAAGGGGCCAATGGGCACTAGGTAGGACTCTCTCCCTACACTTGCTAGCTCTAGGGTAAAGGCTGGGCTGCTAGAACCAAGAAGTCCAGCAATGTAGTGGCTTAAAGACAAGTTGATTTCTCTCTTGTAACCACACAGGGCTGTTATGCTTGCACATTCAGGGACAACTGCATTTTCCCTCTTCTTCCTCTGCTACCTCCAGGGTGTTATCCCCCCCATCGTGGTTCACGCTGGAACACAGGCATGCTTGTGCTCAGTCACGTGAATGTGGCCCAGCCAGCCAGCCGTGGGCCAAGCCCCACAGACCACAACCTCCTGGTCATGTGCTATTGGGAGAATGTAGACATGTGACCAGTAGAGCTCTAAAGGAGCTTGGGAAAGAAGTTCCTATCTCAGAGGTTAAGACCAATAAAAATGCAACTCTCATTTGAAAAAAGGAGTCAGAATAGGATTTGGGGAGGAGACTAGCAGTCTGCTACAGCCTTAAATCACTATTAGCATGTGATCTTGCCCAATATTTTTTGGAAGGGCAATTTGGACTCCGACACAGGAATTATGTGGCTCCAGTGGTGAAGGAGGAACAGCTGCGAAGTCCACTTCTCCACCATATGCTCTGGATGAATTCAGGCACGATGTTTTTGGCTTTTCCTACATTATTTTATTTCTGATGTCTGCTACCTTTGCCCTGGAACTGACAACTCAGCAGGGAATCGGAGCCAGCCTGTATCTGTAGTTTAGTCCTAAGAAAACTGAGGCACTGAGGTTAAATAGCTTAGCCAACGTCATGTGGCTATCAGTAGAGGGGCAAGACCCAAACTCAGGCAGTCTGGATCCAGAAGTCATGCTCTTGATGTCCCTGCCATGTAATTGTACCTTAGGCCTGGTTTCGGCTAAAATAATTACAGAGCTGAGAGCCACAATGTGCTCCTGCCTAAACTGTCATCAAATTTTTTTTTTTCCTGATTCAGTCTCTTTCCTTTACCCTTCTTCACCATTCCTCTCCTCTTGCTCTCACCAACGGAAGAATTTAATTTGATAACTGCAAGCCTACAATAGTGGGACACCCCAACTGCATCCAGCCAGAGAATTATTGGGTCCAAGAGACCCAAACACCCAAGTCTGTCTTAATTATCAATCATGGACATGTCACACCACGAAGGAAGGAAATGGCCAAACTGAGGCCCCCATCTGGGCCACTCAGGGTTGAATGAAATGATGAAGGTAGTCGGGTGGCTAGCAGCTCTGCAGGTAGTAATTACTCTTCTCTAAGAGGGGTCACTGTGAGTCAGGTATGACTCAATGGCACATAACAAGGTGAACATTAGTATGTATAGTCATAAAATCAGTTTATTGAAGAAATGATACAGCAATTTAGATCCCAAACTTTTTCTCAAAATTTTCATTTAGCTTTACTTTTTTATGAAAAATTATTTCTAGCCAGAAATTCCCCAGAAAGTATGGCCTCTTTATTTTCGGTGACTCTAAATATATAACCAAGGAAGATCATTATTGTCATGTGAATATAAAAGCAGATTTATAAACTGGAAATGCTTTCTCTGGGAAGCAACTATTAAATGACTCAGTTGATAAGTTTTATCAACTTCACTAGGAAAGCCCTGGAATAAAGCAGGGCGCAAGTTGGGTTTATCTGTCCTCAGTACACACACACAGCACATACTGTTAAGGGGCAGTGGAAGCATGGCCCGGGAGGCCTTCAGCACAACTTGCAACAGACTCACCATATGCTAAGAACCATAATAGGAGGCAAAGTAGAAATGGTTTCAGGCCCCAAGCCCCTCAAAGCACAGTCGCCTCAGGCAGGCCTGAGACCAGCTGAGCTGATCAAGTCAGGGGTATTTTCCTGAGCACCACCCCATGTGGAGGGCTCCACCTGCTGCCCTGGGGGTGTGTGTGGGTGTGTCTCCCGCTGTTTACCACCCATCCAACAAAAACAGTAGCAGACATGGGACATGGAGTTCCTCTGAAACAACCTTGTGTGTGAATGTCTTCTGGGAATATGGGAGCATGAGATTTTACACCAATTCCTGAGACCTCAGAAACCCTCCAGCACCAGCCATCACTACCTGACCCCTAACTCCTGTGAGAGTAAGGAAGACTCCTGTTCCACTTCTCCAAACACTTGAAGTCATAGTGAAAAGTCTTATAAAAAGAACTACAGAATAGATGAGGAAAAAAAAAAAAGCTACACATTTTGAGCAGATGCCACTTTGCAGTTCTCCCTGGAGCATGTCTACAAACTTCACCAGCAACAAGTCCACCTGGTTATGCAGCAGTAGCCGCAGGCCCTTCACTGCCAAGAGTTCCACTAGCAAATTGTGGGAAGTTTCTTTTCGTCTCCATGGTCTCTGCAGCAAAACTCTGATTATAGTTAGAAACGCCCTTACCTGAAAAGAACAGGCAAAGTCGGGAATAATAGGAAGTGTCGTTGCCTGTGAAATAATCTTGCAAATATCATTAAGAAATCCTGCTGTATTTCAAAGAAAAGGTCTGATTACAGGGGTACCCATGAGAAGCCGAATACTCGAGGAAATGAGGATGAAGGTGATTATACTTCGAGGAGTCAGATTCATTTCTGATACAGAATAATCAGGAAATCCAGTATGTGCTGCAGCCTGTGGTTCCCTACAACAGAAAGCACAGCCTGGCAACCAGCTGGGTTTCTACTCAGCATGCTTGTTTCCCACACGTCCCTCGTGGACTATATCCTGCAGAGCTTCAGTGGGAAATTCTCCGTGATGAGATGATCAGCATGAAGGAGCACAACAATGTTGACCTCAAATTCTGAAAAGAAGAGAGAAAAGCTTTATGTTCACTTGCACCAAACACCAACTAGACTAAAACCAAAAACCCATTGCCACCAAGTCAATTCTGACTCGTAGCAACACAGGTGGTACAGTAGTTAAGTGCTCAGCTGCTAACTGAAAGCTCAGTGCATAGCTTAAACCTAGCAGCTACTCTGCAGGAGGAAGATGTGGCAATCTGCTTCTATAAATGTTATTTGTTGTTATATGCTGTTGAGTTGATACTGACTCATAGTGACCCTATATGACAGAATACAATTGCCCCATGGAGTTTTCTGGGCTATAATCTTTATGGGAACAGATCACCACCAGGTCTTTTCTCTCACAGAGCCACTAGTGGGTTCAAACCGCAGACCATTTGGTTAGCAGCCAAGTGCTTTACCACTGTGCCACCAAGGCTCCTTTCCCATAAAGATTACTATAACGTCCTATAAGCCAACTCAACTGCAGGAGCAGAAGGTTCTAGATAGTGATGGGTACATCTTAGTGCCCTTTTTGGTTTCTGTTCTGAGCAATGTCACCCTACACTTTCAGGAAAACCAGTGAAGATAATTATATTGACATCTGACCATCTTTTATAAACTTTCTCTAAATTTATTTCTTTTTATCTTGGACCTTATGCCATCAGACTTCCAAAACCATACTTTTCTTAACTACTGTCTTTACTGAAATGAATCTCCTAGAATCCTTTCAATTCATTTGTACTCTTTCACTTCATTTTTACATTTTTTCATGGAATATCAGAGCTTGCAAACTGGCCCACAGCTATCTGTGTACCTGTCTCACAACTCCAAGAAAGAAACAATGTTTAGAAAAAGTATACAGTGTACTTGGTGTTCCTCTGGATACTGGCTAATTTATCTGAAACATTTGTTTCTACCTGTTTCTCTTCCCTTTCAATAAACAAGATTCTTTCTCCACTATTTCTTTAGCTACAGTGGGTAAGCCTTGTTGATCACAAGATAAAAGGGTGAGTGTGAAGAGGCAGATCCCTGAAGAAAATAAAGCCTATTTCCTTCTCCAGTTTGAAGGGGGAGGTGGAGAAAGATGCTCTGTGTGAGGGAGGAGCAGCTGGGAGAGGGGGAACACCCAGCACCACATTACAGAGCTCAGCTTAGCCAGGGGCTTTGGGGCCACCTCATTCAATGGTGCCCCTGAGCATCTGCAGTCCTGTCTATATCATCCTGTATGTGGGGGTTGCCTTAACACATGTATCAGCTGTGACAAGCCTGAATGGTTGCTTTCCTGCTTCTGGCAATTATCACAGTACTAGAAGGTTCCTCTGGGTCTTTCTGGCCACCATTCCCTTCCATTGTTTCTCCACCCAACTAGTTCGCCCCAAGGAGGGATCAAGGTGGCCTGCAATGGAACAAAGGTAGATGCCCAGAAGCACAGAGGCTCACGTCAGGGGTTGGCCCTGGCTTTTCACAGCAACAGAAAGCACAGGGTAGAGCTGCTGGTGCCTGAATGGCAACTGTGCCAGGTACTCCTTCATACTCAGAAGTTGTGAGCTCCTACTTGTTCTCCCAGCTAGGGGCTGGGGCTGCAAGATGGCCTCAGGCTTACTATGCATTTGAAGTCACTGTCAGCACCAACAAAGGTAAAGTGTCATAGCACACCAACACTACTCTTAACGCAGGGCTCAGTGCACACTCCCACCTCTCAACATGGAGGCACCTTGGTCTCTTGTGACCCACTGTCCCTCTCTCGGAGACTCGGAGCCCAGCCTTGCTGGCCATGTTCACTATCCGTAGGTGCAGAAGGGACCCTAAATGCTTGAGTGGGTACTGCTGTTCTTCCTCCAAACTCCTCCACTGCCAATGGGAACAGCAACTCCAGGGCCATGACTGCTCAAATGATTAAATGCCATCTACTTTCCTGGAAAGACATCTGTCATTTAACAAGGCCTGAACCAGACTAAGCTCAACATCAAGCAAGAGCATACGAGTATTACTGCTATCTTGGAAGACAGATTGAGGGGCATTACTTATAGAGAAGAATCAGCAGTGCTGGAGTATGTTATATAGAGACTTATATAGATTTGTGTTCTGTACAAAATTCTGATAAATCTGACAAAAAATATCATGTGAAAAAAACAAAGTATGTGCTTAATTTATAGCACAGCAAGAAAAAATACTACTTCTGCACCTTTCTGAAGTATTTGTAAGAAAACCAAGCTGAGAAATCAACAGCCAACCTTCAGAATAACATGTCTAGTGTGCCACTGAGGATACAAAGGGAAATCCACATGGTGCTCGTAGAGTGGGAGGGATGAGTCCCCAGTGTGACACACTGGAGGCTGGTGAGAGGTGAGTCACTCTGGATGTGGAAACTGGGTGGCTAAGTGAGGGGGATTCACCCTTCAGGCTATGGCCTTTGGTACCTTTGGATTTTACACTATGGGCATATCTTAACCAGTTGCCGATGAGGTGATTCGAATTCATGATAACCTCAGGTGTGTCAGAACAGAACTGTGCTCCAATGGGGTTTTCAATGGCTGCTTTTTCCACCTTTCTTCTGAGATGCCTCTGGGTGGATACAGTGGGTAAGAATACTCAAAATGAGGAGTCAAAAGATAGTAAAATTACTAACATTCCTTTGATTAGCAGCTGAACATGTTAACGGTTAGCATACATTACCTACTCAATAACTGTAAACATCTTTTTGTGAGAAAATTCATAGTACTTTGGCTTGGGCCAGGTTGGACTCTCAATCATCTTTTGGCAAGTGTTGCTGTCTTACATGTGTGTCTGGTGAACAGCTGAGTCTCTTGATTCCATGCTAATAACTTGCTCTTGCTACCATGTTATCATTTCACATACAGGACTCAAGAGCTCCACAAATGCTGACTTGTGCTCTGGCCCCACTGGATGACCTGCGGTCTAGGACTCACGGTCCACAGCAGAGATGCAGGACGGTCACAGACCCAGGGGCAGATGCAACATACCCCCCTTTCTCAACCTAGCTGTCTACATCATGTCAGCTCTGACAATAAATTGTTCGTATGTAAATTTTAAATTACATTATTTAGACAATTTAAAGTAAAATCATGATGTTATTATAAATACAAAGATTGTCACTGGACTAATTATGCACATAAGAGATTTAGGGAGAATATGACATTAATAAAAATGTAAAGACTTCAGGAATATGCTTCTCTTTGTCAATAAACCAAGTATAATAGGAGAAGGGAGTTCCTGGGTGGCACACATGGTTAATGTGTTTGCTGCTAACCAAAAGGTTGAGGTTTGAGTCCAGCCAGAGGTGCTTTGGAAGAAAGGCTTGGTGGTTCCACTGAAAACTCTAAGGAGCACAGTTCTATTCTGACACAAATTGGGTCGCTATGGGTAGGAATCCATTGTACACCAACCACTTTTTTTAAATAACAAAGGGAAGTTCCAGAAGCCCTGTATCCCATATACTTTCCAATGTACTTTAGGCAGGCTCAGAAAGGTATCCCAGGAAAAAGCCTGAGGCAGACTCCTTTTGCAATCTTTTCAATCAGAGTTCAGAAAACCCTGTCAGTGAGGGCTAAAGTCATGCACGGTCCCTTCCCAATGTGTCTTTGTCCCACTTCTTCCTAGTGTGGGATGATTTCTCAATTGGACTCCATCAACATGGTGATTCTTATTAGGATGGGCATACCATTAAAATATTTTGTAAGAATATTTAAAATCATTTAATATGGTTTTAAATGGTTTCATTTAACATGAAGCAATGGGGAAAAAAACAACATACAAAACTGTACCCTGATTCAGACTGTGGTCATCAGAGGTATACACACATATTCTTGAGAAAAGGCCAGGGAAACCCTAAACTGGAGGAGCCCAAAGCTCTCATGAGGATGAATATTCACAATGGAATTTTCACACGTTTTAATCTCTGCTCAAGTGTCCCATATCAAAGAGTCTCTGCACCTAACCACTCCCCTCTGCTAACTCCTTACGCACATTAGTTTTCTGCAAAGCCCGCACCACCACCTGACCTATTCTACAGCTGCGTGTTTACTATCTCTCCCTGCCTTACAGTAAGTTCCACTAGAGCAGGGGCTTGTTCTAGACTGTTCACTGCTGTATCCATGGCACTGGCACTGTGGCTTTCCAGTGAGCTTGGTGAGTGACTCTGACCCTAGCTGACCATGGCCCATCTGTCCCAGTCCCTGGAAGGCCTTTCTATGTCCACATCTTTTACGAGAAAAATCCAAACCAGCCTCTGAGGGGTGAAGCATGAGCTCAGCTTACCCACTTTGAAGTTGGTGGTCTCCAGTGTTGGGCAAGTGAACAGCCTGGGGAAAACCATGTGTATAGGAACAGAGAGACTCCGGCAAACGTCCCCATCAGCAATCTGGATATTCTGAATCTCTGTGGCGTCTCGTGCATACCCTTCTGCACACCCTGGAGAAAGGAGAGAACATCACATGATCAGAAAACCAGCAGACACAGGCCTTCCATGAGAAACTGCATCAACATGCATTTATTGGAGATAAGAGATGTGCTCTTACTTTTGCTGCTACCCACATCATCTTAACTGATGAACATACAAGGGCACAGGCAGAAGCCACAAGACACTCCTACCACAGGTCACCACGTGGATCACTGAGGCAGAGGGAGTCCTATTATGGGTCTGCACGTAGACCAGGTGAGGTGAGGTGGGGGAGCCCTCCCACAGGTCTCCATGTATACCAAATAAGAGCAAGAGACCCCTACCACAGGTCACCACAGACCAGCAAAGGCAGAGGGAGCCCTACCACAGGTCTCCACAAGGACCAGGTAAGGCAGGGGAGCCCTATCACAGGTCTGCATGTGGACCAGCTGAGGGACAGAGGGCCCCATCACAGGTCTCCACGCCGACCAGGTGAGACAGGGGGAGCCCTTGTGCACCAAATGAGGCAGAGGGAGCCCTACCACAGGTCTCCACACGGACCAGCTGCAGCTCTATGCTCTTGATGGCTGCGTCTGAGTGCTCAACCACCAGCTCTCCTGTCAGTGGCTGTGTGATAACACAGTTAGTTGAGTTGAGATGTCCTCTAATAAGAAACTTGGGCAGCAAGGCTCTCTAAAACAAAATAAAAACAAATTCATAAGGACTGGAGAGCAAGGAAAAATTACTTGATAGTTACTTCGGTACAAATCAAAGCTTAAAATCAGTAACTGTTACTATCAACACACTGGAATCCTGTTTTGCAAAATGAGAAAAATGGAACAATGCTACTTACATCTTTTAATTTTGACGTTAAAGACTGAATTATTCAACTACTACATATACATACCACCACCCATCTTTCAGTTTGTTGTGCTACGTGGTAGCTTGGGTATTGACATGATACTGGAAACTATATCACTGGTATTTCAAAAACTAGCAGTCACCTATGGTTCTAGTCTACAACAGATTAGGTAGAAAGACAACCTGGTAATCTATTCCCAAAAACAGCCAGCAGAATCTTGTCTGATACAGTGCTGGAAGCTTAGCCCTTAGTCTGGAAGGCACTCAACATTCACAATAGCTGCAAAAAGAGCCTTGAGCATACCAATGATTGTGAAGATGATGCAGGAATGGGCAATGTTTCGTTCTATCCTATGATCACCATGAGTTGGAGCCGACTTGACAGCAACTAACACCATCACCACTACATAACTGGTACTACCAGAATGAGCAGACATCTCACAGAATCACCCTAATTTCCTAGACTCAGACCTGGAAGACTTTTTCTTAGCAACTGAGAAGAAAAAAAAGGCCTGAAGAAGTTGCCAAGGATGCTTAAGGACAACCAGCCATTAAAATATTTTTCAAAGAGATTAAAAAATAATAAACTAAAAAAATAATCACAATTTTGAAAAGAAAAATATTTTATTATAAGGACATGTAAAGGGAACAATTTTCTTAAATGCTTGACTAATAGCCTTTACTCTGTGGATCTAGGGAGCTGGTCAATGGTGATCGACGATGTTCTTGTGGGAAAAACAGATCTAAAGAGTTAATGATAACTATTCTGGTCATCTTTACCTCTAGCTGCTTCCCAGGTACTGATAGTAATTCAGAGTTTAGAACACCACTGTCTGACAGAAACAATACGAGCCACAAATGTGAACCACATATGTAATTTTAAACTTTCTAGTAGCTGCATTAAAAAAAGTAAAAAGAAATGCAAAATTAATAAACTAAAAATATTATTTCTACATGCAGTCAATATAAAAAATTATACAAGATATATTTTACATTCTCTTTTTCACACTTAAGTCTTTGAAATTGGTCATTATACACTGACAATGCATCTGATTTGGACTCGCCATGTTTCAGGTGTTAGTAGTCACCTATGGCTGGACAGGCAGGTTAAGACCTGAGGTCCATGTGAGCCCTTACAGGATGGGACCACTATGGCAAAGAACTCAGAAAAAAGTCCTGATTCAAGACTGAGTTTTAAAATCAACCAAAAATAAAAGAAGATGCTGTTACCAGGTATTGCCCAGTCAATTCCAACTCTTAGCAACCCCATGTGACAGAGCGTAACTGCCCTATAGGGTTTTGGTGGCGAGGTGCCTAAAGTGTTTGACTGCTAACCAGAAGTCTGGTGGTTCAAACCCACCAGCTACTCCTCGGAAGGAAGGTTGGGCAATCTACTTCTGTAGTGATACTGCCTTGGAAACCCAAGGAGGGGTCGCTATGGGTTGGATCTGACTTGATGGTAGTGGGTTTGGTTTGGTTTTGGTTCAATCTCTGCAGAAACAGATCGCTACGTCTTTCTCCCACAGAGCTGCTGGGTGTGTTTGAAACTCCAATCTTCTAGTTAGTAGCTGAGCACTTAACCACTGTGCTACAAGGGCTTTGTTTAGAAAAATATAAGCAGTGACAGTTTACTTGAAAGCTCTTAAGGAGCTGATAAAAAAGAAAAGCTTTCAATTTTCAGCTCAAGATATTGACTAAACAGTCATTTTACCTGATGTTAACATATAAAATATATAAACATACATCTAGAGTGAAAAAGGATGATCAGGTTTGGCAAAGTAGAGGGTTAGTGAAAACAAGGGAAACCCTCAGTGAGATGGACTGACGACATAGCCATAGCAATGAGCTCAAACATACCCACAATCACAAGATGGCTCAGGATGGGGTGATGTTTTGTTCTGTTGTACATAAGGTCACTATGAGTCAGACCCATCTGATGGCAACCAACATCAGTAGCTACTAAAAAAGCTATGAGGAACACCACCCCCAGACTGCCCCAGGAGGAATTTGTGAGGTAAACAATGGACTGACAATAAAGCTTAGAAGAGTTCAGGAGACCACAATCTACAGTTGCAAGAGAGAACTCTGGAAATGAGTTCTCCCAGAAGAGCTCTGAAAAAACCCTAAGGTCAGAGGCAGTGGGGGCTTAGGAGAAGGACACTTTGGGGACAATCAGGGACAGTTGCTGGGTACTTCATCAGAGGGGTGAAACAACTGCAGCTCAAGGCCTCTGGAGTTTGCATTTGCCCTGGGCCGGGGCTACAGCTTTTCTTAAGGGGGACCTCCCACCAAGGAGACCCCCAAGGCAAGACAAGCCAAGTGTCACAGGTCATTTAGGGCCACAGTGCAGGCCAGTGAGCCCCAAGCCAAAATGATAAGCTTCCTACAAGTCCTATAGGACAACACTGGGCAAATGCCCTTCTTTCCCCTGTACAATGCTCAAGGCAAAAAAGTACCTCTAGTCAGAGTGTTAAGTTATTATGAGAAGAGATTCTTCTTTAGTCTAAGAATCTGCAGGTAGTCTAGTTAACAGTACCACACAAACTAGATACTCATCTATAAATATGCACTGACAACAAGAATCAACAACCATTTGAAAAAAATAAAAGCCAAAATAAGAGGCACACATTCAAAAACAGAAGAAGCAACCCCTAAGAAACAGAATCAATACAGGAAACAGAGATAAAAGGGCATTGAAGCTGTAATAAAAAAGAGAAGGTTATTGTCGGAGTAAACATTTTAACAGATGGGCTAAATAATAGCTGAAGAGCAAATAGTGATCTGAAAGCCTGGGACAAGCAATTCTACTATGATGCATCTAAGAAATAACAGTAAAAAGGTTCACAGGGTTGAAGGAAGGTTCAAGCCTTCAGAATGAAAGACACCAGCAAATGCCTGGCATATTGAAACAAGAACCACACCCAGGAAGTCCTCGTGAAATTTTAGAACACTAAACATGGGGAGACCTTGGAAATTTTCAGGGAGAGATAAGGGAAAGGAAAAAAGGAGAAAAAGTAGATTAGTTTGCATAAATTTGAGAATCAGGTTATCCTCTGTATCACTAGATGCTAGAAGACCAGGGAGCTGCTTCTCAAAGTTCAGAGAACAAACGAAATTAAAACAATAATTTCCTACCTATTATTATTTAAATATGAGGACAAAGTAAGATACTATTTTGGACTTAAGTTCATTCCTCACCCTTTCTGAAAGAATGATTCTAGGATGAATTCCAGCAAAACAAAAAATAAACAGAAAAAAGAAGAAAACACAAGACAGAAACAAAAGTGAGTAAGGAACATGGTAAAACATAAGAGTTAAGGCTACATAATGAGGCTGTGACATTTGAGGCAACTATTACAAAATGAGGAGCTCTAGTAGCATAGTGCCTAAGGCACTCGACTGCTAACCAGAAGGCTGGCAGTTCAAACCCACCAGCCAGCCACTCCTTGGAAGGAAGGTTGGGCAATCTACTTCCGTAGTGATACTGCCTCGGAAACCCAAGGTTGGGTCACTATGAGTCGGAGCTGACTCGATGGCACATAACAACAACACAACAACATTACAAAACGATTCCTAAGTGTTACTTCCACTAGGCTGGTAAGATTAAAAAAAAAAAAAAAAACCCACTGAAAATAATGAGTGTTGCAGAGGATGTGGAGAAACTGGAACCCTTAACCATTGCTGGTGGGAATGCAAATTGTACAGCTGTTGTGGAAAACAGTCTGACAGTTCTTAAAAAAACTGGAAGTAGATCTGCCATATGACCTGGTAATTTCACTCCAGGTATACACCCTAGGGATCTAACAGAAGTGACATGAACAGACACGTGCACACCTATGTTCATTGCAGCACTGCTCACAATAGCAAAAAGCTGGAAACAACCTAAGTGTCCATCAATGGACGAATGGTAAGTAAAATATAATATATACATAAAACAGAATACTACTCAGCGATAAAGAAAAATGAATTCACAAGACATCTTACAACATGTATAACCCTGGAGGACATATGTTGAGTGAAATAAGTCACTCACAAAAAAACAATTATTGCATGTTTTTACTTTTATGAAATGACATGAATGGGTATATATACAGAAACTAATATTCATTAATGTTTACTAGGGGTTGGGGGAGGTGGGTGAGGGAAGAAGGAGAAGTAGTAAACCTCAGAGGCAGTAGTCACTTTCGTTTACAGAAATGGAAAAGCACTGTTGACAAAGCTGATATAGCATGACCGATGTAACTGATGCCAACAAGCTGTACATAGGGAAAAGGGGTAAATGCTAGGTTGTATGTGATTTTCCAAGAACCAAACAAAAAGGGGGAAAGGAGCAAACAGGGGAAGGGGCTACAGATGTTGTTATTAGATATAACCAATCAACTCATCCACCACTTGTCTGTCAGTTTGTTGCACAGTGGTGGTTTGCATGCTACTGTGAGGCTGGAGGCTATGCCACCAGTATTTCAAATACGAGCAGGGTCAACCACGGTGGACCTCAACATAAAGAAAACAAAAATCCTCACAACTGGACCAATAAGCAACATCATGATAAATGAAGAAAAGAATGAAGCTGTCAGGGATTTTGTTCTACTTGGATCCACCATCAATACCCATGAAAGCAACAGTCAGGAAATCAGATGTCATATTGCACTGGGAAAATCTGTTGCAAAAACTTTCTTGAAAGTGTTAAGAAGCAAAAATGTCACTTTGAAGACTAAGGTGTGCCTGACCCAAGCCATGGTACTTTCAATTACCTCATATGCACGTGAAAGTTGGGCAATAAATAAGGAAGATCAAAGAAGACTTGATGCCTCTGAATTGTGGGGCTGGTA